GTGCGGTATGGGGATGCTGTGCGGGGAACGGGCGGAGAAGAGCAACGAGGCTGGTGAAGGGACTGGAGCACAAGTGCCATGAGGAGAGGCTGAGGGAGCTGGGGGTGTTCAGCCTGGAGAAGAGGAGGCTCAGGGGAGACCTTCTCACCCTCTGCAACTCCCTGACAGGAGGTTGGAGTCAGGTGGGGGTTGGTCTCTTCTCCCAGGCAACCAGCAGCAGGACAAGAGGGCACAGACTCAAGCTCTGCCAGGGGAGGGTTAGGCTGGAGATTAGGAAGAGATTTTTTACAGAGAGAGTGCTCAGACATTGGAATGTGCTGCCCAGGGAGGTGGTGGATTCCCCATCCCTGGAGGTTTTCAAGCTGAGACTGGATGTGGCACTTAGTGCCATGGTCTAGTGACCACTGTAGGGTTGGACTTGATGATCTTGGAGGTCTCATCCAACATGGTTGGTTCTATGACTGTCCCTCCCCAGTTCTGTGAGGGATATCCACGAGGAAATGTGTTTATTATTCCTGTGCCAGGGACCATGGTCAGCCCAGCTAGCAGGAGGCAGAATCTCTACAGCCACAGGCTGTTCTGTTTAGGGTGAGAATACAAGAAATGGGAAACAGCTGAGAACACAGTTACTTTTTGTTTTGTTATTAACTACAGGCTAGTATGGAAAATGAGTGAGAACCTGCTCTCACCCAAACAAACAAAAAAAACCCCCAAACAAGCACACAGAGCCTCAACATTTTCACAGCTCTTTTCCTCTACTGTAGACAGCATTTACACTTAAGATGAGAAGGAAAATCCTTGTAGAATCATAGGCTATCCTGAGCTGGGATGGACCCACGGGGATTATCAAAGTCCAGCTCCTGGCCTTGCACAGGACAGGCATAAAATGCCTGCTGTGCCTGAGAGCATTGTCCAAATGCTGCTTGAACTCTGGCAGACTCAGTGTTCTGCCCACTGCCCTGGGGAGCTGTCCCAGTGCCCAGCCACCCTCTGGGTGAAGAACCTTTTCCTAATTGCCATTCTAACCTTCCCTCACACAACTTCAGGCCATTCCCTTGTGTCCTGTCTCTGGTCACCAGAGAGAAGAGGTCAGTGCTGTCCCTGCACTTCCTTCTATGAGGAAGTTGTGTACAGCAATGAGCTCTCCCCTCAGTCTCCTCTGTTCCTAGCCAGGTGACTTCAGCTGCTCCTTATATGGCTTTCCATTGAGGCCCTTCACCCTCTTAATTGCCTCCTTTGGATGGTTTCTGATTAGCTTAATCTCTCTTATACTGTGGCACCCAAACCCATACATAGGACTGAGGATGAGGCTGCACCAGCACAGAGTAGAACAGGATTGTCTGTTCAATGCTATTGTTAATGTGAACTTTATTTTCCCCCTCCAAAGGAAGGTTTTCTCCTTGGAGATGTGAAAGGTGAAGCCAAGAACAGCATTACTGACTCACAAATGGACGATGTTGAGGTTGTGTATACAATTGGTGAGTCTGAGCACATTTTTAATACCCTGTTTGGTTTCAGGCAATAGATAACTGCTTCCAGTTCTGAGGGCAAAAACTTCCTGCAAGATCAAAGCTGACATATCCTGGGATCCTCCTTGATGTAACAGGCAACACAGGGAAGGGTTATTTTGTAACATAGGAGAGTCATTGTGTACCAGTTTAATTGCTACATAGATTACAATTTTACTGCAGAAAATAGAGTAATTTGAAAGAAACACTAGTTCTAGGACCTGCAGTGATAGGACAAGGCGTAATGGATTCAAACTGAAGGAGGGAAAGTCTAGGTTGGATGTGAGAAAAAGTTTTTTACTCTTAAGAGTGGTGAGACTGTCCCAGGTTGCCCAGGGAGGCTGTGGCTGCCCCAACCCTGGCAGTGTTCACAGCCAGGTTGGCTGAGCCTTGAGCAACCTGCTCTGGTGGGAGGTGTCCCTGCCCAGGGCAGGGGTTGGGGCTGGATCATCTCTAAGCTCCGTTCCAACTCTTAAATTCTATGATTCTATGTTAGCCTTCCACTTATCTACCCTATGGGTCTCTGTTCTTCAGCCTCATCTTACTGACAGCATCTATACCTTGCTGCAGAGTAACTCCAGTGAAATCTATTCTATACCTCTCCTGTACTCAGCAGAACGGAGAGAAAAACAAAGGACCCAACTTGATTTTTCACTTGATAACATAGAAAAATATACCCCAAAAATCCAATTTATGTGATTCCCTTTACATCTGAGAAAAATGAATTATTTAATTAGATGTTCATGCATTTGATTTTAAGAGTTTAATGCTGATCAGAGCAGAAAGAAGAGCATACGCCTTGAACTGATGAACCCAGAGTAACATTCCTTTCTCTTTCCAGATATACAGAAGCATATTCCATGCTACCAGTTGTTCAGGTAAGGATCTTAGGTAAATAGGTATGAAAAAGTTACAGTTAACCCTAACCTGAACTCTTCAAGAGTTCTGTCACAGCTGGGAACACACTGTGCAGGTTTACACCCCTGGAGGGGGAGAATCAGAGCTTCCTTCTCAAATCTTGCTGGAAATTAATGAACCTAGGTGTTGTTAGCAAGGATTTTATATCGAATTGAAGCCATCTTACCATTTTTCAGTTGAGGGATGACTGTTGCTGTATCTTTAACTTGTATCCCAGTAGCACTGATGCCAGAACAGCAACAACAAAACCACCTCCAGAGTTATTTGAGTCATGGAATTAAGTGTTCTTGTCCCAGCAGAGCAGCTGTGGCAGCATAGCCTTGTGTTTAGTGTGTGTGTGTGTCTGTGTGAAAAGCTGTTACACTGAGATTGTTGCCACAATGCTAGGGAACAGTTATTTCTACCATTTCTCCTCTAATTGTCCTAAATTTCTTCTAGCTTTTATAACTCTGCAGGAGAACTGAATGAACTTGCTCTGAAGAAAATACTATCAGGATGTAAGAAGGTATTTTATTTGCAAATCTAAGCCATACTGAGGAGCTCACTTAGATTTTGGAGTCTGTTCTGGATACCTCTTGGATCAAGTTTGGTTTTTTCTCTCCTCATTTTTACCCCTATTTTTATCCCTAGTTTCATCCCTATGAGGACAGGCTGAGGGAGTTGGGGCTGTTGAGGCTGGAGAAGAGAAGGTTGTGTGGAGACCTCAGAGCACCTTCCAGGAGCTGAAGGGGCTCCAGGGAAGCTGCAGAGGGATCTGTGTTAGGAGCTGCAGGGACAGGACAAGGGGCAGTGGGTTCAAACTGAAGGAGGGAAATTGAGGTTAGATGTTAGGCAGAAGTTTTTGCTGTGAGGGTGGTGAGACCCTGTCCCAGATTGCCCAGGGAGGCTGTGGCTGCCCCAACCCTGGCAGTGTTCACAGCCAGGTTGGCTGAGCCTTGAGCAACCTGCTCTGGTGGGAGGTGTCCCTGCCCAGGATGACCCCTAAGGTCCATTCCAACTCCGAAAATTCTATGATTCTATGATTTTAAGCTTTCATCTAGTCCCTCATGCTGCTGGTCAAGGCTTTGGACACCACTAGGGTTTCAAGCTGACTAACAGCTTGAATATGTACATAGCACCAAACAATTCAGACTACTGAATCACATCACAGTGCACAGCACAACCCAACAGCAATAACAACTTTTGCTCTGCCTGCAGAGTGTAATAGGGTGGTACAAATTCCGACGGAACACGGAGCAGACCATGACATTCCGGGAGAGACTTCTTCACAAGAACCTGCAGTCACACCTCTCAAACCAGGGCCTGGTGTTCCTCCTGCTTACCTCCAGCGTGATGACAGAAACCTGTTCTACTTACAGACTGGAACATGCCTTACATCGGCCCCAGGAAGGGTAAGGGCTTTGTTTCCTACAGCTGTAACTTGAAACAGTTTCTTTGACTGTGTTGCAGCTGAATGACCAACACTGTTTATTTCACCATTGAAACTTATACCTTAAATAAGATAACTCAGGGGTTTCCCCCCCACCTTGAAACTCACATGTTAAATACCATTACTCCTTATGCTGCTAAAGCCCCGTTGAAATTTACCCTGGGATTCTATTCTGGATGTCCCTGTCCCTTTATATCTGTAGTCCAGCATCACCAGGCAGATGCCGTGGGTTTATGTATGCACATGAGCTGGTCTTGATCAGGTTGGGCTTGATGAACCATACAAGGTGTTCATCTTAGCATACCATTAAAATATTCCAAGTGGTGATAACTCTCTCCAGAGACAATGTGCCCACAGGCTAGGCTTAACAAGTATTGCAGTGTGGTGTGTTGTGCCCAGAACGAGGGTGGGGGAAATACAGGCATTGCTTAGCATTTGCTTCCTCTGGGAGTTTGCCTTTAGCCATAAGGAGTCACCTAGGTGTGATGAAATACATTGAGCAAGGACTAAGCATACTCTAAGTCTCCATCTGGGATGCTTAATGGTCAACAAGTTTTAACCATCAAAGACCTTTGGATGTCAGGATAGGACAAGGGGGAACGGGTTCAAGTTGAAGAAGGGGAAATTTAGGCTAGATCTTAGGCAGATCTGTGCCACCTGTGAGGGTGGTGAGACCCTGTCCCAGGTTGCCCAGGGAGGCTGTGGCTGCCCCAACCCTGGCAGTGTTCACAGCCAGGTTGGCTGAGCCTTGAGCAACCTGCTCTGGTGGGAGGTGTCCCTGCCCAGGGCAGGGCTTGGGGCTGGATGATCTCTAAGGTCCATTCCAAGCCCTAAAATTCTATGATTCTATGTTAATAGATCATGTTTTCGTACTTCTGCTTTTGAAGTCTTTTCCAGAAAGTCCCTTTGGTGGTTACCAACTTGGGGATGGCAGAACAGCAAGGTTACAGAACAGTGTCTGGTTCCTGCATGTCTTCTGGTTTTGTGAGAGCAGTAAGAAAACACAGGTACAATATATCCCATATTTACTGAGAGCTGTAACTTCCAGTTTAACACAACTAGACTTCTCTTTCTAGAAAAGCATTTAAATGCTTTTGCAAATGCTACACCCATACCCTGCTCACTTGTTGTCCTCCTGGACTTGGAAATTAGTTTAGTCCCATACTTTGCTGTCTGTCTTAACTTTGAGCATGAAGCTCCAAAATGCTTCTTTATTCCTTAAAGCCCCTACTAAGTAAGCCCTGGGATAAGCAACTTGCAGTTATGTTCTTGGTCTGCAGGTCACAGTTCTTTCATGAAGATGGATCCCTGCAAGAGGTTCATAAGATCAATGAGATGTATGCCACCTTGCAGGAGGAACTGAAGGTAAGCCAGGCATACCTACCGTACCTTCAGCAGTGCTACACGAGCAAGGCAAGCAGAGGGTGCACCATCTGTACACCATCTGTTTCAACCATTTGTGTCCAGCTTACTCAGGAGTACCTTAAGGATTTTGCAGCAAGGTTAAAATCAGCTTCTGTGAATACTGTTAATGTGCTCTAATGGTCTTTTCCTTGCAGAAAATATGCTTTACAGTAGAAGTCAGTGAACGATGCGTAGAGAATCTCTTAGCAGAGGTGAGGCAATTAAAAGAAGAAATAAAGAGGAAAAAGCAACAAAGTTGTACAGGTAAGTTATCAAATGTAATTTCAGTCTTACACTTCTGAAATTGATTCTGTTGGCAGAAGCAGAAAACACTTCTGAACTTGAGGCAGCCAAAATGAGGTGTTCAAAGCCAGGTTGGATGAGCCTTGAGCAACCTGCTCTGGTGGGAGGTGTCCCTGCCCAGGGCAGGGGTTGGGGATGGATGATCTCTTAAGATCCATTCCAACCCTTAAAATTCCATGATTCTATGATCTTGCACTCCATGAGGAACACAGTTGTGTCTTGAAGGGCATAGGGAAAGGTCAAGGAGTTTCAGTTACTCTCAGTAGCTGGACACTAACATTTTTTAAATTGAGGACTTCACTTTCCATTTGCTTAAAAGTACATTGATATATCTTCAAGCCCACTAATAAATTCTCCCAGGAGGACTATTCTGAAGGAGTGCTACCTGTAGTTTGTAAGATCTCCTTTCCTCAGATGGGAACAAATAAAACATCTTGCACCTCATTCAACACAAGGTTTAGGTTATCTAGAAAATCCACCTCAAGCTCATTAAGCTTTTTACTACTTTGTGTCCAGCTTACTCAGGAGTACCTTAAGGATTTTGCAGCAAGGTTAAAATCAGCTTCTGTGAATACTGTTAATGTGCTCTAATGGTCTTTTCCTTGCAGAAAATATGCTTTACAGTAGAAGTCAGTGAACGATGCGTAGAGAATCTCTTAGCAGAGGTGAGGCAATTAAAAGAAGAAATAAAGAGGAAAAAGCAACAAAGTTGTACAGGTAAGTTATCAAATGTAATTTCAGTCTTACACTTCTGAAATTGATTCTGTTGGCAGAAGCAGAAAACACTTCTGAACTTGAGGCAGCCAAAATGAGGTGTTCAAAGCCAGGTTGGATGAGCCTTGAGCAACCTGCTCTGGTGGGAGGTGTCCCTGCCCAGGGCAGGGATTGGGGCTGGATGACCTCTAAGGTCCATTCCAACCCCTAAAATTCCATGACTCTATGGAAACAGTAGTGGTAGAAGTGTGCAAGAGGTTCTGCAACTCTGACTTTTTTCTTTCCAGAAGAAGACAGAAACTCCTCAGGAGAGCCAAAGGAGAACATGCTCCTTTGTCAGGCACTGCAAACATTTTTCCCCAATTCTGGACTTCAGACATGTATTGTTTCCTTCAAAGGCCAACACATCTCCCAGAACTGCTGTAACATTGACCATAACATTAATGTCCTGGACAAACTGACTCTCATGGTAGAGGAAAAGGATTTCACTGAAGCTGAAATGAGACAGCAAAGCAAGCGTAAAGCCAGAGGTACCACAGCAGGAGCAAAGGCTCTCAAGAAATCCAGATCATTGCAGCTTCACCAAAAATCACTTCAAGACCAAGAGGACAGTGACCAAGAAATGAAGCTTGTGCTGAGTAGCACTGAAACGGATGAGGATTTGTTTGAACAGAGAGACACAAACAAATCCTCACAGTCTCCTACTTTCTGATCTGCTAGTGATTGGTCAGATGACCTCACCCCCAAAGCTACTGCCAAGGTATTGAAGTGATTATCAATTTCCAGCACTGCAGGGATGTATATTACATAGTGTAGACAAGATTTACCTTCCATTTCACTAGCCCGTAACTGACAGAGGTAACTCCTGTTAGTTGCAAAACATACAGGTTGGAGAGTTGTTTTTCCAGTGCATGAATCCTGTTCAGCAGAAAGACAAGTCCAGATGACATTCCCTCGTTTTGGCTTCCAGAGTTCCATCTGCATTCTCTCTCTCAGGGATTAAAGACTCTGCTGGCAGGATGCTAACAGCCATAGCAGCAGGTGACACACTGCCTCAAAGTAATACAGCCTCAAGCTGCTGTTGAAAAAGCAGGAGCTGAACACAGAATCAGGTGTCTGCATCTACTGCCACAACTTTCATGCATCCCTAGGAAACCTCAGTTGTTTATTTCCCCACATCTTAGAATCCAGCAAGGGCAAAACCAGCCACTTGGACTTGAGTCAGCAAGACCTATGAGCAGAGCAATGGGTCCATAGAGCTGCCACTTGTATTACTGCTTTCATCTTTCATATTATTACTTCAACCTTTCATCTTCTTCAGACATGGAATTTTAGAGCCTTCATAAAACAATTCATCATCAAGAACCAATTGACATCCACCCCTCAAGTCAACCACACTTTGTTAGCAAACCACATTTCCAGTAAACAGGTATATAGGTGTGAAAAGTAGTTTTATTGTTTCCTTTTTTACAGTAGATTACTCTGGATACTTGATATTACATATCTTGGGGTCTGTGAGGAATGCTGGGTTCTTAAACATTACTGGCATAAACCCTGTGGAAAGATAAGGAAGAGGTGTTAATAGAAAAGTAGCTTTGACTTAGAAAATTCAAGAGCACAAACATCGACATGCTGGAGGGAAGGGATGGGACATCCAGAGGGACCTGGACAAGCTTGAGGTGGAACAATGCTAACCTCATGGAGTTCAACAGAATGAAGGGCAAGGTCCTACATCTGGGCCATCACAATCCCAGGCACAGCTACAGGTTGGGTGGGGAAGTCACTGAGAGCAACAATGTGGAGAGACTTGGGGGTGATGGTGGATGAGAAACTCCTCATGAGCTGCAGTGTGAGCTCAGCCCAGAGACCAACCCAGGCCTGGGCTGCAGCCACAGCAGTGTGGGCCGCAGGCCAAGGGAGGTGATTCTGCCCCTCTGCTCTGCTCTTAACAACAAATTCCATGATTCTCTGAATCATACTTACCAAGGATCTGAGCTCTTTTAATGGCTTTTGTAACTTCCCTCTGCTTCTTGTCACATAAGCCTGAAGAGATGAATATTTTCAACACTAAGCAACGCATTAGTTTAAAGGGTGAAAGGAATATTACTGAAAAGTCCCTCTACGTCTTCCTAGAAAAATGCATATAACTGATGGATATTTTCACTCCTACACCAGAGGAATATTGTTACAGAATGCACAGAGTTGGTAGTAGTTAATTCTGGAAAGATATTAACCAGTAAGTGACTGAATACTTCCCATACCTGTTATGTGTCTGCCATAAATGCGACCGGTGTAAGGAGAAACAAACTGGGAAAGAAGCTGTTAAAGAAAAGCAGAGTCAGTTTCAGAACTTGTTTTGGAGCTTTAGTTACTACTTGCATTATCCTACTTTTCCATGTGTGTTTACAGAACTCAGTTCTACCTGCAGATAAAGTATAGCTTGGATCTGGACAGCATTTGCCATGGTGTAACATACATTCTATCTTAGAATTCTAACATCATCATCCAACATTCTATGGCATAATAATGTCTATGGCACAAACTCTATGGCAGATGAACTGTGTGAATCCAGGAGTCTGCTTGGCAAATAACCAAGTTACTGCACTGACACATAGAACTAATATATTGAGCAGCTCATCACTACTGCACTGTTTGACCCTTAATCTGCACACACTCTGAGGTTCTAAACCTCTACACACAGGAAAGGATTTTTCCATCTTTTTAATCCTTGTGGGTTTCCTACACACACATTTAAAGCCAGGAAAACCAGATACCTTCATCCAAGGACAGGAAGGTTTGCACTCACCTGCACGTTCTTATAGTCCACCTTTACTCTACATAAGACACATCTCTTTGGGGGCTCTTTGTAAGGGTTCTCCATTTGTATGGGCTGATTAGCAACATCTGTAAGCTTCACATGACAACAAAGAACATTGTTATTTTTAAGCCTTCAGGCAAGATATGCCTTGAAACCAAAGAGATTTAATGTAGCACTGGAATCTCAACAACTTTCTTAACTCTCCAACATACTGATTGCTAGTTAGCAATGTAAAAGGTTTCTCACAGGTAAACAACCTGTTATCTTTTAGGCACAATGACATTGTAGCAAGTCTATTAAAACAGTCAATAAGATAGTACGTACACCTTTCCCTGGGAGAGGGACTTAGTTAGGAGCTGCAGTGACAGGATAAGGGACAATGGGCACAAATTGAAGGAGGGAAAGTTAGGTTAGATATTAGGCAGGAGTTTTCCCTGTGAGGGTGGAGAGACACTGTCCCAGGTTGCCCAGGGAGGCTGTGGCTGCCCCAAGCCTGGCAGTGTTCACAGCCAGGTTGGCTGAGCCTTGAGCAACCTGCTCTGGTGGGACATGTCCCTGCCTAGGGCAGGGGTTGGGGCTGGATAATCTCTAAGCTCCATTCCAACCCCTAAAATTCTATGAAATCAATATCTCCAGAAGCTGCTAGTAAGGTAGTTCTCTATGATAAGTTGTAAGAGTCTTTACTGAAAATTTCAAAGCAAATGGCCTATGGGAGCTCCTCTCTGCTCATACACTGTAAAGAGAAAGATTCCCAAATGTCTCCCAAGGACTGAAAGGCTCCTTAAGCTTCAGCACACCCAGCACCAAATCCTTGCAGGAGATGAGAGAAAAGTGACATTTTCCTTTTGCAGATTTAGGTAGAATTTGGGCAGAAAAGAATGGTTTTCTTGAAATGTTCTTCTGGCACCAAACAACACATTTTTATGATGTAAAACCAACCCTAGTGCACTCATCTTAAGTCTTTTTCTCAGCTAAACACAGGAGACAACCTGGTGCTGCCAAAGGCTTTGCACCACAGGAGTTTACTGACACAGCAGGTTGAAGAGATTATCGTTAAGACAGTGGAACACGGATCAATGGTGCCTTAACTTCCAGCACTGCTGACCTCCCTCAATGCTGTGCTGCTGCTCTAGCAACACACTAGAGTCAGGTTTTTCAGCAGCCTGAGCTACACAGCAACCAAGGCAGAAGATCTTCAGACACCACTGCTGCCTGGCCAGTGCCCTTCCTGGGCAGGGGAACGAACAGGAGGCAGGGGCTGGATCCTCCTGTCCTCGGGGTAGCAGACAGGGACTGGACCCTGCTGCCCTGAGACTCATAGAATCATAGAACCAACCTGGTTGGAAAAGACCTCCAGGATCATCAAAGCGAACCCTCCCGTGGTTACTAGACCATGGCACTAAGTGCCACATCCAGTTACATTCTGAAAACCTCCAAGGATGGTGAATCCACCACCTCCCTGGGCAGCACATTCCAATGCCTGAGCACTCTCTCCGTAGAACATCTCTTTCTAATATCCAACCTAAACAGGGTGTCGGGAGAGCAGGCAGGGGCAGGACCCTGCAGCCTGTATGTATGGGGACAGCAGCAGGGGCTGGACCCTGCTGCCCTGAGCGTGGCAGCACAACAGGCAGGAGGTCAGGAAGCCTCACCTGGTCGGAGTGATCCTGCTG